TTTTTTCCTGCAAACAGTTAATGTTCAGACTATTTAAAATGTTTAAAGTGACTGACAATTATACATATTCTTAATAATAGGAATTAATCTGCCTCGTTTTCAAACTCTGCACAGCTGTAGCTGCTTAATTAGGCCTACGGCGCAATTTTTTTAATACTGGTCATTATGGTGGTACTTGGAGAGACAATTTTTTTCTAAGGTGGTACTTGGTGAAAAAAGTTTGAGAACCACTGCATTAACTAATGAACCTTATTGTAAAGTGTTACCTTAAATTTATTTATTTCCTCAAATAAACTTTGAAATTCAGCTTCTGCTTAAGGTAATTCATAGGTTTTACAACTTTGAGCATGTTACGTAATTTTATAAGTTGTGTTTGTAGTTCGATAATTAAATACAATTGAACACTTACAGTTGTAATGCAGTACAAACATTACACATTGTCCATTTACATTGCAGCGTGTGAGATTTTACAACACAATCTCACGGCAATTCGTAACTTTTTGATTTAGTGGCTAATTCGTATGAATTCGTACGATCTAATTTCGAATAATTTAATACGATTTGCTCATCACCCAATGACGGTTGGGGTTAGGGGTGGGGTTTGGTGCCACGCCTCCTTTTTAAAATCGTACAATTTCGTTTGACTGAACTTGTACGAATTTTTTCGAATTAACCACTAAACTGACAAAACGTAAAATACTTACGCTTCCTCATGAGATCCGGCTGGATTTTAAAGTTTAAACAAGAATCTCTAGATTCATTCTTGCTGTTGCTTGAATTGTTTTAACTTTAAGCGAAGCTTATTTATAAACTAATTTCGACAAGATCAAGTGATCGTGATTGAACACGGCTGGTTCGGCATTAACTATGTATGATCCACCAATCAGATGATTCCTAACCCACTGTAAGAGCCAGGGTTTCTCAACACATGTCATGTTCAATAAATTGCTTATCTTCTCCATTGTCGTGTTGCTCTTCTACTCTTAATCCAGTATGTTTTCGGGCAAAGTATTATACATTTGATCAAGTATATTATTCACAGTATTTGTTCTTTCAGTTGAGCAACATTTTCTCTGAACACCAACATGACACGTGAGACTTACTGTTTTCTGCTACATGGTTATCTATGCATTAAGAAATATGCCTGTTCATCCATGTCTTAGTCAATTTATGTCAACACTCTTTTTCTCTGTACAGAGTATTAGTCAATGATTTGAAAGCTGCGTGCCAACATCCAGACCGACACATTCAAATCTGATTATAATCAGAACAAGAGGTTTCATTGCAGTTGCAATTGGACTTGTTTACTGGCATGACAAGAACAGCATGATATAACATTTTTGCTTTGTTCATTTCTAGCATTTGCATTTTTTTTTTTACTTTTTTTATTGCAGACAAAAAACACTAGTAATTTAGCATGAAAATACACTTTTTTACATTTAAATCCCCCCCTCTCTCCCCCAAAGCATACAGATTCAGTTGAACAGGTAAATGTATTGTTATACATAGGCTAAGGCAAAGACAAACATATACTGTATTCCACATACAATAGTACACATACAGTTGAAGTCAGAATTATTATCCCCCCTTTGACATTTCCTTCTTTTTTAAATATTTCCCAAATGATGTTTAACAGAGCAAGGAAATTTTCACAGTATGTCTGATAATATTTTTTCTTCTGGGAAAAGTCTTATTTGTTTTATTTTGGCTAGAATAAAAGCAGTTTTAAATTTTTTAAACACCATTTTATGGTCAATTTTATTAGCCCCTTTAAGCTATATTTTTACCAGATAGTCTACAGAACAAACCATCGTTATACAATAACTTGCCTAATCACCCTAACCTGCCTAGTTAACCTAATTAACCTAGTTAAGCCTTTAAATGTCACTTTAAGCTGTATAGAAGTGTCTTGAAAAATATCCAAATATTTTTTACTGTCATCATGTCAAAAATAAAATAAATCAGTTATTAGAAATAAGTTATTAAAACTGTTATGTTTAGAAATGTGTTGAAAAAATCTTCTCCCAGTTAAACAGAAATTGGTGAAAAAAATAAACAGGGGGCTAATAATTCAAGGGGGCTAATAATTCTGACTTAAACTGTACATCTATCAATCAATTAACCAATAGCGTGAGAAGTATTTGCTCTTGCCTATGCATAGTTTTGTTCCAAAAATTGTTTAAACAGATCCCAAATTTTATGGTACTCCTTTAATTTGAGCTATATACTGCAGGTCAGTGGTTTTCAAACTGTGGTACGTGTACCACTAGTGGTAAGCAGGCTTACTTCTAGTGGTACGCGAAGGAATCACTGAGTAATGATAGAAAAAAATGAATAACATTTAATTAATCATACGATAACACTAATGTGATCAGCATTTGCTGTTAAATAATTATAACACGTATATTCTATATTTAACAGGTCTCAAGATCTGTTAGCCTCTTCTCAATCCCTTTGACAAAAACAGGCCTGTAAACATTGCAATATTGGGTAGTTTTAGCTTTAAAAATTAAGCTTGTCCTGTGTAAATATTTATTTATTTACTTGATTTATTTATACAGGGACAATGTACAACATGACATGTTGTGCCAGAGTTAGCTATGAAGCTAATTTACATCTGTAGTCCCTGGGCAGGAAGTAACAGATTTACCAGTTATAACAAATACAATATACACTTACAGTACAATAAATGCAACTCATCATTGTCAATAAAATTAGCCGGCAGCTAGCTCTCTGCAACTTTCACATGGTCACCCACTGAAGCTAAGCAGGGCTGCGCCCGGTCAGTACCTGGATGGGAGACCACATGGGAAAGCTAGATTGCTGCCGGAAGTGGTGTTACTGAGACCAGCAGGGGGCGCCCAACCTGTGGTCTTTGTGGGTCCTAACGCCCCAGTATAGTGACGGGGATGCTATACTGCTCAGTGAGCACCGTCTTTCGGATGAGACGTTAAACCGAGGTCCCGACTCTCTGTGGTCGTTAAAAATCCCAGGATGTCCTTCGAAAAGAGTAGGGGTTTAACCCCGGCATCCTGGCCAAATCTGCCTACTGGCCTTTGTCGATCATGGCCTCCTAACCCTCCCCATATTCAATTGACTGCATCACTGTCTCCTCTCCACCAATCAGCTGGTGTGTGGTGTGTGGTCTGGTGCAAAATGGCTGCCGTCGCGTCATCCAGGTGGATGCTGCACACTGGTGGTGGATGAGGAGACCGCCCCCCCCATTGTGTAAAGCGCTTTGAGTGCCCAGAAAAGCGCTATATAAATGTAACGAATTATTATTATTATTATTAAAATGAAATCAAATCAGTGGCTGCATATTTGATTTTGTTTTAGCCGAATTTTAAGAACAGTTTTAAAATTATAAAAAGTGCTGCTCTCTCTGATATACACTGGTATTTTATTCCATCTTTCTGCTGCTTTAACTGAAAAAACTGATTGTCCAAAAGCAGTTCTCTTAAGTGTTCTCTAAAGGCTACAATCAAAGCCATGTGCTTGAAATGTTTACTTTAGAGCATCACGTCATCCAATTGGCGCAGAATCAGAGAAAGAGGTGTGTGGTGCTTGCAGATCAGATATGTGCTAGAGCAGTGGTCCCCAACCTTAGGGCCACAAACCGGCACCGGTCTATAAATCAATTGGTACCGGGCCGCACAAAAAAGCATTCATTATTTCCCTTTTATTCATTACCTGAGTCTGAACGATCATTTATTGAGAAAAATCTTTTATTTACACCACATGTCTTTGGACTGTTGGGGAAACTGAAGCACCTGGAGGAAATCCACGTGAACGCAGGGAGAACATGCAAACTCCACACAGAAACGCCAACTGACCCAGCTGAGGCTCAAACCAGTGACCTTCTTGCTGTGAGGTGACAGCACTAGCCCACATTGCCCGTAGTGTATGAGTGTGTGTGTGTCTGTGTGTGGATGGATGTTTCACAGAGATTGGTTGCGCTGTGTAAAAACGTGTTGGATAAGTTGGCGGTTCATTCCGCAGTGGCGACCCTGGATTAATAAAGGGACTAAGCCGACAAGAAAGTGATGATTGAATGATCGAATGAAGATCAAGCCTGACACATCTCATTTCATTTCACTTAATTTTCCGTCGTGTTAGTCCTTTTATTCATTAGGGGTCGCCACAAAGGGGGTTTTACACAAAGGATGCCCTTCTAGCTGCAACCCAGTACTAGGATACATTCGTACTCATTTACACTCATACACTACGTTTATTCAATTCACCTGGACCGCATGTGTTTGGACTGTGGGGGATACCAGAGCACCCGGAGGAAATATCTATATAGAGTTGAAGTTACAATTATTAGCCCCCTGTTTATTTTCCCTTCAATTTCTGTTTCACGGAGAGAAGATTTCCTCAGCACTTTTTCCTGTATTTCTGATGAGTCTGTGTTGCAAAATACAGTCCAACACCCACATTTCTTCAGGTCATGTGATCTTGACAGCTTTAAAAGCGCAGTAAGATCATGCAGGTGGTCAGATTGACTGAAGACTCCACGCTCTTTTTAACCAATCGATCATCAATAATGTCAGAGGCAGTCATGCCAGGAGGATGGTCAGATGAGAAGCCGGTCACCCTAGAGGTGATACAAATCTGCCTTCAGGTACGAGACGCTAAATCACTTCTCGTTTTGTTATATGCAGTTTTTACATTAAAAATAGACTTTTAACATATTTACATTTTCATTGTTTTTGTTTAAATTATGCATGAAATTCTTTTGTGGTTAATTCAGATGAATAAATAAATACATCTAAAATAATGAACACTCCAAATATCGCTAAGCCTTTTTAATGCATCCCTATTAGCAATAATGTTTACTCATGTAGATGCGTGTAAATGTTATTAAACAGATCTGTACTGTGAAGTGTTTCCTTATTGATCTTCTTGATCTGTTTATTCAGGTGAGGAGATTCATACTGGAGAAGTCTGAGAACCATTCTCGTATCTTCATTCCTCTTAAATTCAGATATCAGATTGTTGCAGGAAAAAACTACTTGGTCAAGGCAAGTATTTTTCATTTGTATTTTTTTTGTGGATTGTAGGATGGGATAGGAAAAACTTTTATTTATCCCTGAGAGGAAATTTGTCTTGGGCAAAAAAAAAGTGCTACAGCGTTGCTCTAAGCAAATAAATAAAACAAGCAAAACAATTAAGAACACACATTGTTTACAAAATATATAAATATATACAGTTGAAGTCTGAATTATTAGCCCCCCTTAGAATTTTTTTTACAAATATTTCCAAATGATGTTTAACAGAGCAAGGAAATGTTCACAGTATGTCTGATAATGTTTTTTCTTCTGGAGAAAGTCTTATTTGTTTTATTTCGGCTACAATAAAAGCAGTTTTTAATTTTTTAAAAGCCATTTTAAGGTCAAAATTATTTGACCATTTTAGCTATATATTGATAGTCTACATGTAATAGAGGCCAGCTAGTAAGTGCTGTGCAGGTAAACCTCACTCCTCTGACCTCTAAAGGTGCTCTAGCGACAGACGCTAGAGACCATGGTCTTTAGCCTCCTTGTTAGAGCAACTAACTCCCATGCGGAAGGTTGGCGGTTCGATCCCAGCTCGGAGCGGGTTGGGTGTTGTAGGACCGGTGAGGTTACATTGGTGCCGTGACCTGGATGGGAGTGAGGTTTAGGGGGGTGAGTGTAACGGAGGCCAGCTAGTAGGTGCTGTGCAGGAAGACCTCACTCCTCTGACCTCTAAAGGTGCTCTAGTGACAGACGCTAGAGGCCATGGTCTTTAGCCTTCTTGGTAGAGCACCCGACTCCCATGCGGAAGGTCGCCGGTTCGATAGCAGCTCGGAGCGGGTTGGGTGGCATAAAACCGGTGGGGTTACATACAGAACAAACCATCGTTATACAATGACTTGCCTAATTACTCTAACCTGCCTAGTTAACCTAATTAACCTAGTGAAGCCTTTAAATGTCACTTTAAGCTGTATAGAAGTGTCTTAAAGAATATCTAGTCTAACATTATGTCCTGTCATCATGGCAAAGATAAAATAAATCAGTTATTAGAGATGAGTTATTAAAACTATTATGCTTAGAATTGTGTTGAATAAATCTCTCCGTTAAACAGAAATTGGGAACAAATATAAACAGGGGCTCATAATTCTGACTTCAATTGTAAATATGATGTACTACAGGTGCATTGTTCTTAGTAGAGTTCAACAGTTTTATCAAGGTAACAAACGAAAGCTTCGGTCTACTGGATTTGCTCATTGGCATTGTCAGTGTTGTTCCTGATGGTAACAGCTGAGCGTCACTGAAACAGGATGTTTGGAATCAGCACTAATATTTATAGCCCTTCTCTTGACCGCCTGTTAATATAGAGTCTGTATGGGCTTGTATTGTTTTTTTTTCTATGATTTTCATAGCTATTTTTTTTTTATATGAACCAATTTACTTTTCAATTGAACAGATTAGGGGTGCGTTTCCCAAACAACGACGTAACTCGCGGCTGAACTATCATAGTACGAAGCATCATTTGTAATAAGAACGATGTGTTGACGAGTGTTTCCCAAAACTCGTAGTTTCTCTGTCGCAGATCCATCGCTTGAACCATGTTAGGTATAACGTAAAATGCCCATAATGATGCTCTAAACGGGGTGGAGTAACAACTTCTTTAGAGAAAAATCCCATCATTTCTTTATGCAAATGATATCGTTTTACACAAACATGCATTTAATATAAAATCCAATATTAGTTTTGGTAAAAACATGCACTCACTTTCTATATTAACTGAAGTATATGTAAATGGCACATATAGGGCCTGTGTTTTCTTTACAAATATTATTAAGAACATTACATATTCTATTCTAAAACATAAAATCACTTACAAAAGCTTACACTATACTAATATCACAAAAGCGAACACTATTCTTATATCACAAAAGCTAACACTATACTAATATCACAAAAGCTAACACTATTCTAATATCACAAAAGCTAACACTATACTAATATCACAAAAGCTAACACTATTCTAATATCACATATAATGAAGCGATTTTTTATAAAATTAAATTTAATATTTATTATATATTAGAAATGAAAAAAAAAAACGTTAATAATATTATTAATAATATTATTGATGATTACTATTATTATTATGATGATTATTATTATTAATTATGATATTGTTTATTTATGTTTTTTTTTTTGAAAAGTCTACTTTTACAATTTGACACATGTAAACCACTGCAGAAAGTTCTAACCAGCAGGCCCATGTCACATACAGTACAGATACTTATGATTTATTTTTCAATTAAACAGACAGATTTTCAATAAATTAAAAGAATTAACGTATGTTTTTTGTTTTCACAAGCTTTGGAGACGTAACGTTAATTTCGATTTTAAATAATAGGTCTCCTATAGCTTTCCACATGAAGCTGTGTTCAAATTGATATCAATGTTTTCAAAATGCACTGTGAAGGGAGCACAACTGTAAACATGAAGATCTCTAAAACGGAACTGTAAAAAAAGTTTGAAAGCAAATCACACCTAAGAGAGATGACCTTAATGCTTTTTTATTTTTAATAATTTCAACTTTGAATGCTAGAATGCTTTAAATCAGGGGTTCCCAAACTTTTCAGCACGCGACCCCTAAAATAACAATGCCAGTGACTCGCGACCCCCAATAACCTCTGAGGTGGTTATAAATACAGAAAACTTGCATGCAATGGCGCACACACACACACACCAATAGACCAAAGTCTATTCTTCGTATAATTTTTTTTAATGTATGTCAGTGCTGTAAATGGGCCAGAAAGTTTAACCTGGTGTTATAAAATCAATCTGCTGCATCTGACGCTATTGCTGCCTTTAATATAATGTATTTACCCCAAGGGTCGCAATCCAATAGAACAAGTAAATAAGCTACTATAGTAACTATAAACGACTGTTTTTTTTCTCTTCAGTTGGTTATGGATAAAATATGGTAATTCTTCCCTGCTGAAAAATCCAGCTTAAACCAGCCTAGGCTGGTTTAAGCTGGATTTTTTAGCAGGGTTATGGTCAAATAATTATAATAAGTAGATTTTTGGAAATCACCAAGCGACCCCCCTTCATTGTTCCGTGACCCCTCAAGGGGTCCTGACCCCCACTTTGAGAACCACTGCTCTAAATGAATAGGACATAGGGGAGATATGTGGGAATAGAACACAGCCAGAACTATGTTTCTAGCTTCAGCTCTAAAGGTGTAGTTTTAAGTGCTCATGTTGGAGCGATGGATTTGGGAAGCGGCAAATCAACAAACTATGTTTGTAACAACGGAACTTGCAACTTTAGTTGGCTAACGATGGTTTTGGGAAACGCACCCCAGACTGTGATTCCATAAGACTTTTAAATATAGCTCGATAAAAACAACCAAGATATTGCTACCCACCCCATACAATCTCAGCCTTCTTAAAAAAATAAAACCAGCCTCTGTTGTAGTTGTGTGCACAAGCTGTCAATGTGTGTTCTCCAACAAAAAAACACGGTCCATTTAGAACCCCAGGTATCTGTAAACACAAAAAACTTGACTTGCATGCTTCCCAACACAAACTAGTTGAAAGTGAGCCCAAATCAGATGTGAAAGTAACCAGGGGTGTCAAACTCAGTTCCTGGAGGGCCGCAGCCCTGCACAGTTTAGTTCCAACCCTGCTTTAACACACCTACCTGTAGGTTTCAAACAAGCCTGAAGGACTCGATTAGTTTAAACAGGTGTGTTTAATTAGGGTTGGAACTAAACTATGCAAAGCTGCGGCCCTCCAGGAACTGAGTCTGACACCTGTGGTCTAGACTATTAAGTCTATTTGCAGAAGAACGCTTCTAAAGAAAATATCTTCACTTAAATGCAAAGTGTTTGCTCATATTAAACAAGTGCTTATTCATATTAAACATTGTGTTCTCTCTCTCTCTGCTCAGGTGTATGTCGCTGAAGATAAATGTGCTCATGCACTGATATATCAGTCTACTGATGGGAAACTGACTGTGGAAGTAGTCCAGTACCCCAAAACATTTGATGATCCTCTGACCCCTCCTAAGCAATCAGCCTCTAGAAAATGAGTGTGTGTAACTAGTGTAAGCACAGACACACTGAGTGATCTGCCATACGGTGTAGAGGAACTGTTCAAAACTGCTTCATTCCTCAACATTAAACTCTCAACTCAACTCCTGCAGTGTCTGTGCATTTACTGTTGATGTCCACAATATCAAACTCTCCTCACTAATGTCTGTGATGTTTCTTCACTCGTCTCTTCTGGTGGTCTGGTGTGTGTTTTTTATCAATGAGTGCACTTGGTCCACTGCAATACTCAGACGCCTGACAGCTGTCAGTGTTGTGCTGTTGGGATAACTGAGTTTATTGTCTAAAGCTAATCATCACTCTCAGTGTAAAGCTGCTGATCTGTGTTAATCTAAGAGTTGTCGAAGCCTCTGTTAGTGATGTCTGTATCAGTGCTCAGTCATTGCTGTGATGCTCTGGATGTTTCATTCATTAGATCAGGTCACTTTCTGCTAGCTCTTCCAGTCGGGTTGCCAGGTGCTCTTACTGATGTACGGGTGCTCATTGTAATAGTTCAGCTGGGTGTGTTCACACTTAGTATTATTTCATGAAAGGCAATAGCTATTCCCAAAAGCCCCCTCACTGAATAAATCTATGACTGAAGACGCTAATACAGAGATTAGATACAGTTAAAAGTAAGTCTGGCCGATAAATCTTATAATACCATAGTTGTTGTGATTAAAATGTATTAATTTATCAATTAAGAAAAATAAACCAAAATAATTAAAATACAGACATCATTTGAAGGGATATAAATTGAAATGGGTGCTGTGAACAGAGCTGTTTATTTTCAAAAGGGCTGCTGCTGGCCCAAAGGATGCCCCATGCGAAAGTTTACAGTGGTGCCCCCACAGAGGAACAAAAACACACAAACATATGTTTAAATATGTATTTATATACATAAATATGCATATAAACACTCAAAATTATACTTAAGCATTCAAATATTATAAAATAATTGTTACATTTTAGTCCCTTTTTCTAGGGGTACGGAGACAAGTAACAAAAAAAAAAAAAATTAGGATAAAAAAAAAAAAAAAGATCAAATTTTAATTGGATCGAATTAATAATAAATTAATATTTAATAATGTGTGGAGAATCTCCTTTTTCTTTATCCCAGCATACGTTCACTTTAGATATAATAACAAAAACTCTGAAAAGAGATTTCAAAAGAAAAATATTCTCTTTAATTCACTGTTAAACAAAATTCAATATTTTTTAACATTTCCAGACAGGGTAAACAAAAACAAAGATACGTAAATGAAAATTATCCTAACCAAAATCATTATGAGAGGGTAAGGCCAAAATAACCAACAAAACAAAAGCTTCCTAAATTGACAAAGTTCTAGATTTCCTAATTATTTATATATTTATATATATATATATATATATATAACTCAAAATCAATGACAATGCTCTTACCCCACAACCTGGCTAAATCCAGAAACAGGAGAAAACTTAAAGGATAAACCCAAAATAAATCAGCACTAGTCTCTCTACACAGCTTACTTTTCACAAAGTTACACGTCACTCTTATTCACACTATAATCTCACAAGATTCACAAGCTCACAGTTCTAAATATCCAACAAAATCTCTATCACACTATAATCACTGGGTTAGGGAAAACAGGGACTCTCCCCGTGCTTTGCCGCTCTGCCTCTTTATAAAGCCTGGAAGCTCAATCAACAGCAACCTATCCGATTTGCTCTGATTGAAAACAGGTGCGGCTGGTTTGGAACGCTGCTCAATGAGAGAGAGAGAGAGGCAGAGAGACAGAGAGAGCGAGAGAGAGCGAGCGATTAATAAAACAAAATGGGAGAGCAATAAGCTGCCACTCACACCAACAACTTATTACCTAAATACATCATAGGATGTAACATAATATTTTACATCAGTTGAAATTAACACGAACATGTCTTCTGCAGAAGCATTCCCAATTTCAAACATTTACAAAAAGTGAGTTCAACATTTAAGTTAGGTATCAGTTAGTTTACAGGTGCGAAAATGTGCCTTGATGTACTTGAATGTTAAAAAATGTGTTATTCTACTACAATACAAAGTGACCTGTCAAATAAATTAACATGATTATTTTAAGTTATTTAATTACAGTATCTTGTATATGAAGACTGCAGAGTGATGCATGAAAAAAAGACTAAATAATTGTTTAAGTAGTTTATGATGTATGTTAAAGTGTGCCCCCTAAAAGCACAAGGACCCCCCAATCACTCTGGTCGAGAACCACCACTGCTAACGAGTACTCACAGCAATCTGAGCACAGTAAAACCTGTAAAACCCAATAAGTTAAGGCAACTCAAACCGTTTGAGGAAACAGATTGCAGCAAATCATTTAAGTTAAACTAATCTATATGAGTACTGTGAACTTACTCCATTTAAGTTGAAGTAATGAGGTATTTCTTTAACTCTTTACCTTCAACACTGAGTTCAAAACTCTTTTCAGATGAGTAGAATTAACTTTCAGTCAATTTTAAGTTAACTCCACTCATTTCATTTGATAAAGTTGACTTGGGTTTTACAGTGCAGTGCACTTTTATACACCTAGTTTTTAATATATTAAAAAACATTTGGTAAATAATATTACAGTTATTTATCAAATTAGTTTTAAAAATATTTTATTTTAATTATATATTAAGGGAATAAAGCCCTCTCTGTACCTGTAGAGATGGACGGTCCTCAGTGCTGCATCCTGTGTCTGTACCTGTGCCTCTGCAGCAGTGCTGGTCATTCCACCTCATCTTCTTTTGTGACAAATTTCAGCATTAAACCTCCTCTACAACACAGAAGAAATTAGTCATTTAAAGAAAAACTCATGACATACCATTAAAACAATAGACTAGTCCAGCACTCTTCATAATGTGTCTAAACTACAACCAACATGTGCATTTAACTTGCACTATAATCTATGGTGACAAAAGCTGACCCCTGCTGTCAGTATAAATCAAAGTGAGTGTATCTTTCAACAGAAAACTTTGTTAACATTCAGAAAAAAATAATCATTAATGAATTCATGCAATAAAATGGTTTCTGGCCTGTGGCTTACCGTAATTTGACTCATTTTATATATTGATATATATAATCTGTCAGAAATCACAGAAGAGTCAGTTTAGTTATTTCATATTGTAATGTACAAACAATGAAAAACCGGCCTATTAAAAACACACAATTCCACATCTAAAAACACTAAAGAGACTTTACTGTCATTGCAGGGATACAAGCAATATTAACAGCAGCAAAAGACCAATTACCATGTTTGTAAACATTTAGGATGCGCGCGCAGGGAGATGGCAGAAAAAAACCCGGGAGCGCTAGAATTTACAGCGAGAGAATGACATCTGATACGGAACAGAGTTTGTTGTTGTCTTAGAAATAAGATATATTAGTTACATATTATATATGTTATTTACATAATGCATACAGCGTATAATAACAGCTCGTCACCCAGTGATAAGCACAGTTATTCTGCTAAATTAACGGTAAAGTGAGCGGCGTTCATCTGACAGCTCCATTTGCGATAGCACCCTCCCAATGGATATTGGATAAGACGAAGTGACCAAGCATCCAGCCCCAAATATACAATCTCAATGAAACTCCAAGTGAATTTACAAGAGAGAAGTTAAAGGCCTACAAGTCTTTAGATGCCAACAATGTTGTTCTGTGTGGTCATGTGCAAGAAATAATGCTCCATGATGACCAGATTCAACACTATGCTAAAAACCGAGGTTCTGCCTAGCCAAAGACAAGCAAAGAAGACAGAGCTAACGTTATACAAGGCCTGGGTGATCATCAACATGCATTCTGACAGTGAACTGCACCTGTACGGCAGGGTGTGTGAACACACATAGAGCTATAGTTGGTTTAATATTCGCTCATTCAGACTTTCTCCTTAATAATTTCACAAAAGTATTATTTGCAAACTCTAAATAGCAAATTCAGATTAGCAGCCAAAGTCACACTTGCAGGTTATTTCAGACCGAATATTCAAAGTGCTGTGGTAAACAATATAGGGAGTGTGTCACGAGGTGTCACTGAATGAATGTGTGAATATAAAACTAACTTTCCCTTAATAACTTACACTTTCACCTTTCATTCTGAGCATTCAGTGTCCACAGCTTAATTCACCACATGTAACTGTTTTTACTGAAATCATTGCTGCAATCAAAAATGAGTAATGTGTATGATTCAGCATATCGTGAACTTACGTGATAAGACATGAGAACTGCAGAGTCCAGCCTTTCTAATAAGGTCGTCCTTTCACTCAGCTCTCTTTTAGCCAAAGACGTCTGCTGTTGGCATTAAAGCAGTGTGGTGTACGGTAAAGTTAGTAAGTTTTCTATTTTCGGACGAATTTGCCGTCATACCGCACAACACGACATGTTTACTATTGCAGCCGGTCTCTTTTTGCAACCGGGAACCTGTGTGACATCATGTGTGGCGTAGATTGGTAGTTCGTCTATATGGAGCAGCGGTCCTGTTGAGAAGGTTAATAAAACTGACCTTCATTTTTTATTTATTTTAAATTAAAACTGCTTTTATTCAAGAAATAAACTGTATGTTTCTTTGTATTTGTATGATCCCAATTTATATTCTAATAAATACATTCTGTTTCTGCGGTGGAAAAAAATAATAAAAAAATAAAAAAATAAAATAAACTGTGAGAATTAAGATTTATTATGACTCCAGAAGATTATTTTTTTGTTTTATAGGAAATACTGTGAAAATACTGTGAAAGTTTGATTTAGATCACTTGGGAAACAGTATTTTAAACTAATAGGAGGGTGTAAAAAACTGACTTCAACTGTATCAGTTAGTTTACAGGTGCGAAAATGTGCCTTGATGTACTTGAATGTTAAAAAATGTGTTATCCTACTACAGTACAAAGTGACCTGTCAAATAAATTAACATGATTATTTTAAGTTATTTAATCATCTTGTACATGAAGACTGCAGAGTGATGTATGAAAAAAAAGACTGAATAATTGTTTAAGTAGTTTATGATGTATGTTAAAGTGTGCCCCCTAAAAGTACAAGGACCCCCCAATCACTCTGGTCGAGAACCGCCACTGCTAACGAGTAGCAATTTGAGCACAGTAAAACCTGTAAAACTCAATAAGTTAAGGCAACTCAAGCCGTTTAAGGAAACAGATTGCAGCAAATCATTTTAGTTAAACTAATCTACATGAGTACTGTGAACTTACTCCATTTAAGTTGAAGTAATGAGGTATTTCTTTAACTCTTTACCTTCAACACTGAGTTCAAAACTCTTTCCAGATGAGTAGAATTAACCTTCAGTCAATTTTAAGTTAACTACACTCATTTCATTTGATAAAGTTGACTGTTGGGTTTTACAGTGCAGTGCACTTTTATACAGCTAGTTTTTAATATATTAAAACACATTAGTAAATAATATTACAGTTATTTATCAAATTAGTTTTAAACGTATATTATTTTAATTATATGTAGCTTAATTCATATTGTGTGTTTGTTATCTTAATAATATGATGTCTCATGTACAGTATGATATCATTTTTAAATGAATAGTGATTGAGCGAGCGAACTAAAATAAGCAATTAATTTTAGCTTAGTTTAAAAATGAGTAGATTTTTTTTTTTTACAGTAGAATGGCTTATGCAGAAGGTAGGCATTTATATTTATTTATTTTTAATTTATTGCATTAATAAAGTTAAAATAATTATAAAATAAATGATAATTAAACATTTACTTATGCGGAGCTAACACACATGCAATTGTCTGGACAAGGGTGTTGTCTTAACAGTTAGCGGAAATCTTCTTTATCAGCTAGCAACATATATTAGTTAATAGGAAACAGCTTTCAGATAAGTGATCCGTGTCTAATTTGAAACTGTCTTACTCAATCAGTTGTCTAACGGTGAGTGATTTCATTATCAACACAGACACGCACACACACACCCATATAATATAATATAATATAATACAATATAATAT